TTTTTCACTTCTGTTGGACAGCTGAAGATTAAGGGTGGCGGCCGGAGGCCGTTTACCTCTTGGGGGCGTCGGTGGCCTCGCACAGCTCCTCGTACTCCATGTGAAAGACGCTGGAGAAGGAGTTCTGTAACACGGGCAGAGAGGAGGAGAGCGGTCATTACAGCTGAGGGTTTCTGTGAGTGACCATTACGCTGTGAACACCCCCCGGTTTGGTTTGGTGTGGACCGTTTGAGCTGAATGAGCGCGGCAAGGAGGGGGATGTGCTCACGGTGACACGGCACCTGTGGGCAGTGCCAAGCTATGAGGTCACTTCGGGATTCCCACACGCACAGGCGGCCTTGTAGGGATGTACTGGACCCGGCTCTGAGCTGCGGGACGAGCCGAGGTCCCTGGTCGGGGTAACATGTGCTAGCAGAGACGTTTTCAACTGAAGGCTCTCCTGGTTCCATCCACTGGTCCGTGACCCGTTCCTGCTTCTCCACCGCTCCCCCATGAGGTCATATTTATATCTCACTCTCAGGAGAGGATATAATGGATGGAAAGAACCACTGAGTCTAGAGTTTTGAAACCACAGGATGTAAAACTGATGATAATGAACAGCTCCTCTGTTGCATGAATTAATGGCACCTGACGCTAGCACTACCCTACCCCCCCCGGTGAGGTTTAAAGCACGCCCCCTCTGGACAATACCATAAAGCGCCCCAACAGACCCAGACAGGACTCGAAGCACAGCAGGGGTGGAACTGCGGGTCACTCTGCACTTTCTCCTACATGGCAATGAGAACACCAGGACTTATGTTCTTGCATTCTTCTCCGATTCTTCACATCGTCATCCATAAAAGATCCCAGACAGCTCTAGGGCCAAACATCCCCCTGTGTTACACACTGACGTATTGTTTTTAATATACTTACGGTCCTTTTTTTTTTTCCCCTGATAGCAAATTTAGGAGATTTAAATTTTAATTTAAAGATATTTATAGGTGATTAGATATTGGTTTATCTCCATGTACATCATCTCCCTGGAAATGTGGCGACACCATGGGCACCTGGCCGACGATAACCCCCCCCCCACCAGAGAGAACTGCGTGCTTGTTTATAAATATTTAGCCAGGACGTGACGCAGCTGCTGGAAACCGACCGAGCAGTGCGGTGCAGTGCAGTTAACGACGCATCACAGGGCCCGCAGTGTGAAGTGAGGTCACGGTGCCTCCGCACCCCCACCAGGACCAACCGAGTCAGGGTCAGACTGGTCACATGATCAGCACAAGCTGAGATCTTCACCCCCCTCTCCATAGGGCTGTACCGCTCTAAGGGCCTCTGTCAGCCCCAGGCCGAGGCCAGGAGTTTATGCTGCTCTATTTATCCCAAAGACTGCCCCCACCCAAAATCCCTGGTGCAATCATGCCATCAGATGACTTACACAACCCAGCATGGATCCAGGGTCACCTTTGCACATGACCATAAAAGCCGAGAGCAGCCGGGCCTGGCAGGCAATTCCTGCATGTCCACCATATCACACTTTTTATCAACAACAATTCAAAATGTTTCTCAGTCCAGTTCTGGATCCAAACCATCCATTCATTTAAAAAGGATTTCTGGGGCTGTTCTTGTGTGACACTGCAGGAATACGTAGAAGTACTCCTTCCCCATTTTTCATTTGCTCACTGCAAATTATTCTGCTCTGTGATTGGTGACCCAGATGATGACCTGGAGGGGGTGGCTCTCTCTGAGAGGCTGGGCAAGCGAAACCCCTTATTCTGATTGGCTACATTCTTCTATAAACCATCATCCTCAAACTTTCAAAATTGTGTAAGGAACTTGGATGTTTAAAACTTCCAAATTATGTTCATGCACTGTTGTCATAATTCAGCAAGAAGAAGGAAAAACCAGTTTATTAGTTTGAATAAATCAGCAGGGGATTTGATCCAATTTGTCTGCACCATGTAATAAATCTGATTCTGCTTGACATTTCGAAAACACTCTGTGTGTCCTTGGCCACGATGAGGAATATGAAGTTGATTCGGCGGCGAGCTCGTCGTCATGGTTCCTTACAGATGGGGGCCATGGACCCCCCCGACCTGTGATTCCCGCCTCCACCCCTCCAACCTGGACCACGAACGACGACTGGCTCCGCTGTTTCTGGAAAATAAAATCCCCGCTCTCTGCCTTTTCCTCCCAGCACACCAGCAGCCCCCACCCCGTACTCCCGCATACATAAACCATTCGTCCAAACCACACACACGTCCCCATTAGGGATGGAATTAGCCGGCTTCTCCGCAGCTAAAATAAACCCAGGACTTGCTTTCGTAAGCACTGCCCATCTTCCCGAAATATCTGAAGAGGCTTCCGGCCGAAACACAATGGCCTGTTCTGTGAGGTGAAGCGAGATTTCGTCAGTGGTCGGCTAAGTCAAACCCCCTGCCTCCCCCCAGATGGAAAAATGGCCTGTCTGTCAACCCGACACCCGCCGCGTTCCAGGTCAGAGCGACGGACCCAAAACACGACCTACGCTGGGTAAGAAGCCACACCCTATGCAGCCCACACCCCTCTCAGGCCACGGCCCAGACGCCCTGCTACACAGACCTCTCTTTGTGTGGTCGGAAAGAGTCATGTGACCAGGCTCATCAAAGGGCTGTATTGTTGACATGCTGACATGCAGCACTATTCCATATTTTAGCAAAGGAACTGAACAGCTTGCGATCTTTTTTGCTTGGACTGTATTTTAAACAAAAACACACTTTCACAATCAGCCCCCGGGGTCTCTGTAAACACTGTCACTGTCAGTTTGAGCTTTCCACGGGGGGGGGGGGGGGCGGGGGGCTCACCAAGGCGTCGTCGCCGGCGATGAACACTGTGCAGCACTGCGCCTGCATGAAGGACAGGATGGTGGCGGCGATCTTCCTGAGGAGGACCTCCAGCGACTGCTGCTCCTCAAAGATGAGGCTGGCCAACTCCAGCAGTACCTGCGGGACACACACGCACAAGCAGGGTCACACACACGCAGGTCACACACGCACAAGCAGGTCACACACACGCAGGTCACACACGCACAAGCAGGTCACACACACGCAGGTCACACACACGCACAAGCAGGTCACAC